CATTGTAATGATGAAATTTTTGTTCTATTTGATGATCAGTGATCAATCAGTTGTATTGAGGTGTTTCAGGAAGATTTTATATTCTCAACCACTCCTCTAATTTTAACAATGAATGAATGATCTTTGACGATGTCGCTGTTTCGGTGAGGTTGATGTGTCTTCGTTCTCTGTGATCATATAATGAAGTAACGTGGTAGTATTTCTGATAAAGTGTCAATATTTCAACAAGAAGCTGTGTTTCAATAGCAAGAACAATGGTAAACGATGACAATAATTGATTTCATTCGATCTACAGTGTCATTCATAAAGTCGGTATCATAATATGGGAGAAACTATTTATTTCAAAATTCATCCTAGCCGATAAGTTCTGATTTAAAAAATATAGAATAATGGAATATTCCCGGTCGGGGTCATGTGAAAAAAAATTTTTTTTTTCACAAATTTTAACGTTCTATAACAACTTTTAACTTTCAATATTTTTCCGATATCTACGAAATGTCTGTTATATTGAAAAGATCAACACCGACAAAACTATTTCATTCTAATAGCTTTACCATGCACTGACTCTTTATCACTAATTATCGACAGAAATATGATTTTCTTCAGAAAATTATAATCTTCGCTAAAAATTTCTGTTATGTTTAATGCAAAGTGAATTTATTTATTTGAATTGATTTTTTTAGTACTCAAATGAGGCCGAAGTCATCTATCAGAATATCATGAAACTCTAATTATGTAAAACTGGAAAAGAAACATATTTCCTCAGTAAACTTTTTTGAAATTCAAACAAATAAGCCTATTTTCTGCGACTAATTTGAAAAATGTATTTTTTGATATGTAGCAAAAGTCACGTGACTCCGACCGACTAGACCATTTTTCATCTTTTTTGAAGTAAAACTCAACGGCTAAGTAGGATTTGAAAAAATTATAGTTCAAAGTTTTCCCATATGATGCCATCTTTACGAATGATACTGTATACATTAAGTTCATCCCTGTTTCCTGTTCGGGTATCAGATCTAGAATCACGCTGATTCTACTATAAGTCTATCAACTATACTCACTCAGTTGTGATAGTAGACACACAAGCTCATTAGGATGGAAATTCTCGAATGAATGACATACGGAGATGGAAAGGGTTCCATATATTATAAAAAAATCACCATCTGAGGTAGTCTAGGTATGAAAATGTCTGTAAGGAATCAATAGAGCTTGAAACGTCTCAAGCCGTGGAGCAATACATTATATGAAGTCAACATGGCTGGCTCACCTAGGAATGCTTGATGGAAGTCTTGTCTAGTACACCTTTTTATCATAATGTGTCAAGTGTACTATATAGCAGGAAACAAAACCAAAACAGCGTCTGCCTTTTCCCTCGTAAATCTGTGTAAGTAGCTTCAGAGATTCGCAGATGGTGACTCTCGATCATAACTCGCAGACGCGACAATATTTATACATCGCCAGATTAAGTTTGTCCTAAACAAAATCCTGTTGACCAAACAGCAATCTCTCAATTAACATGCTAGCACTTGCTGGCCCGTCGCCAAACATTTCAAAGCCCACCCAAGCCCGCAGTGGTGATAGCAGCATAAACGTCATCAAAAAACGTGACAATCTCGCCGATTCACGACCTGCAAAGTGCATTGTTTTCGAAGGAGGATCATCAACGTCCAGACCACCCATTAACAGCCACCTCGTTTTTTGAACTCGAAAATAGAAAATTCCCTTTTGTATGAAGGCGATGAAGGAATGATGAGTTCTGTGACAGGGTTTGGTGCTAATTATAGTCGGGTGGCTTAACGATATACCAGCGACTTTCTAAACATAGAAGAGGCGACATTTGTTGTCGGATGAGAAGAACACAGCTGGACAGTATAATTGTCTTGTATATCTTACGCCACCGGGTTCATTAGCAAAGCAGATAAAAAAGTTAACGCAGAAACTTTGATATCCATGGTAACCTCCTGACAAGATCACAAATTTTTTCTATCAATTACATAAAAAAGACAATTTCTCGAAAAAAAGTATGTTTCTGTCTTGAACTTTGTGTGTATCGATTTATTCGCGAGATTCACGAAGTGGGCGACATCTAGGTTACATGATACGAACTTCAAACTGGAGGAAAACAAATTGTTGTCTATGGATGGAGTGCATAGACTATATTGCATTCAGCTTGCTGTAGCTGCAGTCAAACTTGTCAATGACATGAAGTGTTGGCACTGTTGATAGTGAGGATGGTTGAGTTGGTTAACTTCTCCACATTATCACATTTTTATTTGTTTAGTGAACATTGAAGGGGTGAAGAATTGGAGATAGTTCGAACAGCTCAAACTAATTATGACGAGCAAATCAATTGACATATAAAAGAACAGCTACAACATATTTACAATACCCAAATTGTCCTGCTTTGCAGGAACAAATACAAATCCATTGTTCTACAGGAGTTCCTCTGGACCCCAACTTCAATTTTACTTCATGTGGGGGAGATTTCATCGCCGAAGTTTGTGGACAAAGTGCTAAAATGTGCCTTTTGTTGAAGTCTTCTGCCTCACACAAAATCACATGATTAGCACGGAGAACTGCTTCTCCTTCCACTACTGGTCGCCTTTTTTATCTAAATAGAGCAAAATATCTGCCAAAAGAACATCTACAACAAGCATTATCAGCGTTTTCAATCGAATATTGACAATTATTGTCAAGAAATTTGAAAACTTATCACTCTTATCAGTACACAGTACACAAGCTAATGGCACTAATGGGATTGAGTGAGGATTGAGTTTGTTTTTCCTCTGTTTCGACGTGGCTTTGACATGGAACGATAAAAACCGAGCGCCACGTGGTAACATTGATTCCCGCGAATAGCCAGTCGTATTTTGTAACGATGTTGGATTTTTAGCAAGGCCAAACACAGTGGTAACAATTGATAGTGGAAGGATGGAGTTTCGCAGAATGTCTGGTTGTGAGTTGAATCAAGTGAATGAACAAGAAACGACAGAAATTGTTCAATTGGATCAAGTGACCAATGAAATCGTAAGGCGGGCGGCACATTGTATCAATCATTTGCCATCGTGTCATGTCGCTCGAAGTGTCACCGTTCAATATTTCAATTCCACGTCAGACGGCACCGAGTGCAACGATGCTCCGGGTTTGGTTTCCATGCCTTCGTCTAAACACTCAGATGACTCAGATTGTTTCTTGCATTATTTCATCTTTTGAGTAGTACAACTCATACTCTTATTTTCATAAAGAACAGGAATATCTACCATTATAAAATGAATTTCGATGCTGACAATCACTGATCCGTTATTCTGTGAAGCAAAGACAAATGCATCATGAAACCATGTTTGCAGATCCATTCAGACTCAATAGACTCATAGAGCACAATGTCCAGATGATTTTTTTGATTTCACTTCATAATAATTTCAGATCAGTCAGAATTTTAAACGAAACCGATTGCGCAAGATCGACGAAAATCGGAGGACCAGCAGTGTCTCAACCCATTTGAAAGCATGATAACATGTTAGAAAATTCACTCCATAAAGCGTACTTGATGAAGTATATCTGCAGTCTGCCGCCCGCCTATGAGTGAGAAATAATAACGGTGGATTTGAATGAAGTCGTCACGAACTCATCGAGTACAAGTTCGAATTTAGGAAGAAGAACTCAACTTGTTATTGATAGAAACTGAACTCTTGGGAGTTGCGAGAACTCAATGCCGTGTTGGCTTATGAGGCGGACTGAGCCTTTGCCACATCAGAATTATCAAGACTCCTTTCTCTCTATGATGATTTAATAAGATATCCAAAGCGGCAATTTGAACACAATCTTTCCAAGCAGTTTCTCCAATAGCACTGAGAACACCGATGGTTTCTTTCCCTTTCCTATCTCAGAGTTTGAGTGGTACCCCGAATTTCCGGTTTCGAGGACTGGGGAAGTTCTCATTATATTTCCACTTCCTTCGCGGTTGGAGAGTCGAGTTTTCATAATGATTTCTGAAAATAATTTTCGTCACAACCGAATACTCCAATCTCTTTTGTGTCAAATAGTTGGTCAGGCAGATAAATTTCTTCAACTTCTGATTACATCTGGATTGACTTGAGTGAGCTCTCATTAGGCTGGACTGGGATCTTCCTGGTGTATTCACTTGTTGACTTGTTGCAATTTCAATTATCCAGATTACTGAGTGAGTTGTTAGTCAGGTTCTCATAAAGTAGTCATATCCCCATTTTATGTCATGTCTTGTATGTCATGTCAAATGTCAACTTCAAATTCGCTCTCATTATTCCAGTATTTTCTTTCACCTGCTAAGTTCACTTCATCACGACAGTATGCCGCAGTCATAATGTCTGTTTAAGGAAATGTCAAATGTAATCGGCATATAATCCCATTTTGGGAAACAAATTTCAATCTGTTTGTACCGTGATTAGCCATAATATTGATATTACTCAACGGGACCAAAGATATTTTTATGGATGATTTTCTTGTCAACCTGGCGAGTAAGTAAATTCACTTCTACTTATTTCTAAATTCACATTCAACATTATTCAATTTCATGATGATATTTATTGCTCAATAGCTAAAAGTTGATTAACTTCCACTATTTTTCTAATTTATAGCTAGCTTAACGCTGCACTTACTTACAGGCACTGATGATGACTGTTAGTGCTACCAGAAATTGAAAAAAAAATCATTTTGCACGAAATACAACATTTTGTACTATTAGGTATATCTGGATAATGTTTTCTAGAAGGAATTATGTAGCTGTTCCCGAAGTCGGCAAAATATCACATCTGTGAGTCTGAATGAAAGTCATCAAAAGCAGATGATATCTATATTATTTGTTCGTATTTCCAGGACTTGAGATTACGAATGTAACTAGTGATTTTTTTAATCTACTAGTTTAGAAAGCAAGCTTAATTCTGTGGCATCATCAGGGCTGGTGTTTTGAGGAACTATATTCAAACTCATGAACTGACGTATATGGAATTTGATGATTCACTTACCAATTGATTCTGATATGCCGTCACTGCAGTGAATATTGTTTCAGGAAAAATGAAGGTCTTGTATTCTTCTTGCTCCAAATCAACAATTTGTCCAGAAGCTCCTTCGGGTCTCTTCACCAAGTGTATCCTTGGTTGGTATTTGTGCATTGAATTCAGAACCAGCTGTAACAAAGATGAATAATTATTACTGTATCATTGTTACTGTTCAAAGTTTTGTCATGTAGCTCAGTTCATACTACGGGAGTTTAAGACGTTGTTATATCGCGTTTCGTTTACAAATTCTCTATTTTCAAAGCATAACGATCAACTGTGCATGCTGTCTCGATAAACAAGCTTGCGAAAATTGGATAGCTTACATTTTTGTAGATATTGATAATTTTCATAAAGAAAAGCTGATAGATTCTTCTTTCAAATGTCATCTTCCAATTTTCTATACGGAGAGACTCACAAGTCTAAAGTAACGGTATCATATTTGGAAAAAAGCATTTTATATTCAGATGAAAAGGGTTTGAGATACTGAAGCCTGGTAATTAGACTGGTGAGCAGGAAGATTTTTTTTATGTTCTGGTTCCTACGAAAAGGAATATACTGTAATGTTCAGAGAACATCGTGAGAACCAAGGAAAATAAGGTAGGAATTGGTGTTCTTCTTGAATTTCTAGAGGTTATATGCCTCGGGGAACACCTTCCTTGGCAATGTGTTCCAGAGCCTCGCTGATGTTCGTTGGATGAACGAGTCTATGGAAAGAGATGTTCTGCAGGTCTCCAAAGTGACCACGATGGGGTGCGAAGCCTCAATTCGACGGTTTAATCTCGCGGGGACTACCAAGGGAGAAACAATCGTTGATATTTCAGAAGAGCATCGTCCATGAAAATATCAATAAAATAGAGCCAGATCGCCAACTTTTCTGCGGTGTTCCAGAGAAGTGAGTGAGTTTGTGAGCGAGGCATCACCCACGAGACGGAATGCCCTTTTTTGGACAGAATCCAACAGTTTCAGGGTATGTTTGGGTGCTGCACTCCAAATATGGAAACAGTATTCCAGGACAGGTCGGATCTGTGCCTTATAGATCATAAGCAGCTGACTGGAAGTGTAATAGCTCCTGGCCCGAAACAGGAAACCAAGTTTTTGGAATGCTCTTTTAGCAATTGATCTCACGTGATTTCCCCAAGTAAGGTTATTGCTGATAGTAATCCCAAGGATCGAAATAGATGTCTTCAAAGGTATGGTTACTCCTGACATGCGTATGTTGGGCACAGTGAGATCGGCTTGCCTAGAGAAAAGGCACACTTGTGTTTTGTTTGCACTGAAATCTACCAAGTTATTGGATCCCCATTCGAGAATTGTTGCCAAGTCCATATTTATTATGTCAAGATATAGAAATTTCAGTTTTATACAAGTGTGCCTCTGTGACTATTTGATTCAAATAGCATTTCCATATATTAAGAAGAGGAAAAAATGTGAAATAATCTACAAACAATGAACTGCACCTAAACTCAAATATTGAAGACATGGGAAACACAGATAGATGCAGATTTTCTTACTTAAACATCGAATGAATCCGCAACTTTGCAATTGGAATACATGCCCTGCGACCTCTAACGGCTTCCATTGAACTAGACATCCAACTAACCCCATTTTTAAATACTTCGATGAAGATTAGATCCATTCATATCGTCAAAAATGTTGTATCTTGGTGACTACACAGCTTTGAAACATTTTTGAACGATTTTTATCGGTTTGGGATCACACATTAAAAGGTAAGGCCCCCGTCATTCCTTGCTCGTACAAGACTCTCGAATACTTCTGAGGGTTGCTCGTAAGGGGGCAACCGAATGACGGATAGAACAATTTTAGAACAATTTAAAATTTTTGAGAAAACCGTACAATGCATATAATCATGGTAAGAACCGATACGTAGTAGAGACCACGATGGAAGGAAGATGGTGTAACCACTCTTCGATTATTGTTTTTTTCTAAACATGTGGAACTCGATAGAAGGCTGCAAGTAGAAGTTCACCGGCTTGAATGACTATAGCGATACGATTTCTGATTAAAATATATTATCTGTTATTTCAAGATGAAGGAAATCCTGACGGAAAAGGTTCAGGACAGCTGGAGAAAGGCTCCTCGAATGAGGCAGTCCAAACTCCATATAGGAAACCCGTCACGAAGACAGACCAATGCCCTCTTGGCTTTGAACAGGAAGGAGCTGAAACTGGTGGTGGGCCTGCTGACAGGGCACTGCCACCTGAACAAACATCTCAGCATGATCGGGATTGTGGAGGATCCAGAATGCAGATGGTGCCTAGAGGATGAAGAGACTTCTACTCACATCCTCACTGAATGCCCGGCAATAGTGGCAGCAAGGGATATCCATTTTGGGAGCAGTATCCTGGACCCAGAGGATGTTAAGAAGATTTGGCCTAGGAAGTTGGTCTCTTTTGCTCGCGAGATCGGCCTTCTCCATGGCTGACTTGCGATCCCAGGAATGTGGGTGCACAATGGGCCCGAAAAGGGAGGCCTAAGTGCGTCAGGTCCCGGACCGCCCACACACATACATACATACATACATTATCTGTTATTGACAGATACCAGATAGCTCCATTTAGGTGTAGGTAAGTAGCGTTCACGATGTCAAATGAAGTTCAATCGTACTACCTTGCCGGTAACTTCAAGAGTGGCACCATCAAATATTTATTTCGCGAGGCCTATGGTTTCAAAATTTGACATAATCAAATTGGTACAGGTCTAAAATATTTTCTATATTTTTATGAGAGAGAGCTGTTTCTCCATCTGATGAATCCACCTTGGCAAAGACTCAACTGGGCAAAGTATTTGTCAACTATCCATTGTCACTATTATTAACAAACGATGTGATGCACGTTTCATCGGACTAGATGGATGGCATATATTCTGAAAGTCTCGGTGTTAGGCATATTAATACCAACTAACACTTCGAGGCGATCCATCATAATCACTGTTTGGCAAAAGGTCAAGTTGTCTTCATTGCCGTAAATAAATTAGGCGAGACATCCGACAAAAGAAAGAAATTTCTGAATAAAATATGTTAGTGTTCAATGGGACATACGGCGTAACATGGAACGCATCAAGGAAAATAAAATTCAGTGAATTAATGTTATGAAAATAATTGTGCTGCATAGTATTTCAATTGGTATGAGTACATAAAATGAATGAAGAATTCACTCTTCATTTATCTTCTTCAATTTTAAGATGATATTGAATTATTATTATTTTTAATTTATGGCAACTGTTATTTTCTTGATATAGATATTTGGACACCTGGAGAATAAGAAAATGACTATTTATCTTGTCAAATATGCCTTGCAGAAGTCGTGTAGACTTAATACCGACTCTCTTCTGCACCTTATCGACAATTTAAGTCTCATAGAAGATTTATAGTGATTGATCTTTCTTGGAAGAAACCACCTTGTACTAGTTTTGGAAGATCATTCACAATAGAATCGAATACTCTCGGTATGCGCATTGCGCAATATCTTCCTGGTTTTTAAAAAATTGCCACAGAACATGAGTTTTCTGGCAGATATCTGATGATCGAAAAGACCCTTTCAAAGCGAACCAGAGATTATGGGACAATGAATACGCACTAGATTTGATGTGGAGTTTTGGTCGTATCCATTCAGTAGTTCTCTTGAACTCACAAATTTACCTTCTTTCGAAAAAAAAAGCTAGGAACACCTTGTTCCTCAAAATTCATTTGATCACGACAGAGAAACTACTGAAAAAGTGTTATATTGGATAACTCCTGAAGTAAAATTTGTTCACATTAAAAATTAGTTTTTTATACCGAAAGTCCGTCTGAGCCTATGTACAATGGCTCTCCCAAATCAATAAACAATAGACCGTTGTATAGAGATTCAACTGTCTCCTTAATCGATGGCTTAGACAAATACGCGACGGTGTTTCAGGCAAAAATTGTTGCAGTACCCCATTGCGTAAAAGACTTGATGAAGCAAGAATTCATAGAAAAAAACATTGCAATCAACTCGGATATCAAGGCGGCAATCAAAGCAGTCAAGTTGATTCGAAACTAGCCTGGAACTGCTTAGGAAGCCTGAATGAACTGGGCAGTCAGAACGAACTGACTCTAGCATGGGTACCAGCACATACAGGGCATGAGGGCAACGAAGAGGCAGATTCACTAGCCCGAGCAGGAGCAAGTAAAGTTCTGAATGGTCCAGAACACTTTTGTAGTAATCAAATTCGAAGAATTATGGGCAATTAGTCATCGGGAATGAGGCAGGCAAAGAAGTTTATTTATTAACAAGACATTGCCAATATTCACGTGATATCTAATTAGCAAGAAATGAGCTGGGAGAGGAAAAACCAAGACCCCATCAAAGATACACAGGGAACCTAGATGGAGTCTCATAGAGAAGGCAGGACTAGTCGAAGAACTCTGAACGATTTTGTGGGTACACATCAACAATAGATCTCAAGAGATCGTGGTGTGGAGGCAGATGATCGTAGAAGGCCTCATCCTGATCTAATCTTATAGAGATTCAATACCCCTTAAACCAGGTTCAACCTGACCCATTGAACTGATCTGTATATAGGACAGGAAGTTGAAAAATGTCACAAAAACAAATAGATTTCCAAAAATGAGAATCGACCTGTCCGAGTATTTTCAGAATGAATTCCGGTAGCCGTGTCGTGGGTTCAATTCCCCGCGACTGCAGAAATTTTTCTGATGACCCAAGAAATGGAGCTTAATTGCAAGACAAATCTTGCAATTAGCTTGATTGACAGATTAATCTTGGAACTTCAAGGAATTACATTTCATTCCTGACTTTTACCAGGCAATTCGATATATCTAACCTCAAGAACATGAAAATCGCGTAATAGAAGCTGTTTCTACAAGCAATTGGCTTCGTTTGAGATGAAAAATTCAAAAGATAACCGAATAAACAATCAACTCACACGCCCGCGCGTTTCCATCACGTTGTTGGTCAAAATCGCGTTGTAGATAAAAGCTGTTTTCATAAGCATTTGATTTCGTAAGAGATGCGAATTGGAAAAACAACTGAACAAACAATCGACTCACGTGCCCGTGTTGTCCATCTCGTTATTAGTCAACTGGACCTTCTCGAAGGAATGCAAAATAGAAGGAACAACTTTATAAATAATCGACTCACGTGCCCGTGCTTGTCCATCTCGTTATATGTCAGCTTGACCTTCTCAAAAAGATGGAAAATACATAGAAAGGATCGACTCACAAGAACCTGATTGTCCGTTGTTGGTGAAAAAATCGTGTTAAAGATAGGAGCTGTTTCTATGAGCAATTTACTTCGTATGAGATGCAGAATAGGAAGAATACTCATCAGTGATTTAGGTGAATGACACACAAGAAGACACACTCTAAGGCATCTTCACAAATTTATTGGTAAAATCAGGAACATCTGCACATGTTTCGGACTAACATCAGTCCATCATCAGCAGCATTATTAAAAACATTGGAGGAAGTGAAAAAAGGCATCCGCAATATCACAATGAGTTAGTTTTTTGAAAAATGAAGAAGAGCAAAGTGCCCACACCACAAAGGGAGCTTCATGAAGGGTTCAGCCACCTGGTCATCCAAAAATGAATGTGGAAAAAATGATTCTCAGAATAGAGAGAACAACTTAATGAACAATCGACTCACGTGACCGTGTTTGTCCATCTTGTTGTTGGTCGAAATTGCATTATAGATAGAAGCTGTTTCTATAATCATTTCATTTCCTTCCAGAGGCAAAATAGAAAGAATAACCATTGATTGAGGTGAATAACTGAATAAACAATCGACTCACGTGCCCGTGTTTGTCCATCTCATTGTTAGTCAGCTTGACTATCTCGAAGAGATGCAAAATAGAGAGAACAACTCAATGAACAATCGACTCACGTGCCCGTATTTGTCCATCTCGTTGTTAGTCAGCTCGACCTTCTCGAAGGGATGCAAAATAGAGAAAACAACTCACTTCTTGCACAAGTCTCTTGAAGACAAGATTGCTCATGGAGGGGCAACCAAATGATGAATAAGAAAAATTTTAGAACAGTTTCACTCCGTTTCAAACGCAAAATAGGAGGAATAACCATTGATTGAGGTGAATAACTGAATAAACTATCGACTCACGTGCCCGTGTTTGTCCATCTCATTGTTAGTCAGCTTGACCTTCTCGAAGGGATGCAAACTAGAGAAGACGACTAACTTCTTGCATAAGTCTCTTGAAGACAAGGTTGCTCGTAAAGGGGCAACCAAATGATGGATAAGAACAATTTTAGAACAGTTTCACTCCGCTTCAGACGCAAAATAGGAGGAATAACCATTGATTGAGGTGAATAACTGAATAAACTATCGACTCACGTGCCCGTGTTTGTCCATCTCATTGTTAGTCAGCTTGACCATCTCGAAGAGATGCAAAATAGAGAGAACAACTCAATGAACAATCGACTCACGTGCCCGTATTTGTCCATCTCGTTGTTAGTCAGCTCGACCTTCTCGAAGGGATGCAAAATAAAGAAAACAACTCACTTCTTGCACAAGTCTCTTGAAGACAAGGTTGCTCGTAAAGGGGCAACCAAATGATCGATAAGATCAATTCTAGAACAGTTTCACTCCGTTTCAGATGCAAAATAGGAAGAATAATCATTGATTGAGGTGAATAACTGAATGAACTATCGACTCACGTGCCCGTGTTTGTCCATATCGTTGTTAGTCAGCTTGACCTTCTCAAAGGGATGCAAAATAGAGAAGACAACTAACTTCTCACACAAGTCTCTTGAAGACAAGGTCACTCGTAAAAGGGCAACCAAATGATGAATAAGAACAATTTTAGAACAGTTTCACTCCGTTTCAGACGCAAAATAGGAAGATTAACCATTGATTGAGGTATGAATAACTGAATAAACAATCGACTCACGTGCCCGTGTTTGTCCATCTCGTTGTTAGTCAGCTTGACCTTCTCGAAGGACACCACCTGCTTCCGTAGCTGCTCCCCCGTGAACGGCGAGTCGGGGTGGGCGCAGGTACGGCAGGGCGCGGGTGGATCTGCTTTCCCTGCCACCAGCCACGAGGAGCGGTGGTACGCGTACCGGTACCGCTTGCTGTCCACCGGTACGATGTCCAGCAGGACGGCGTACCGGCGCTCGGGCCGGACGCCGGTGAAGGAGACGCGGACGGTGGGGAACATGCGTCTGAAAAAAAAGAGCAGTTGATATGATGTATAGGGATGGGCCCGACAAATAGTAGAATGTTTTATCAGGATCAAAATTGACAATTTGTTTGACAAGCGAATTTTGCATTTGCGAGGCGGAGCGTTTAGCGAAGCCGAGCAAAAGCAAAATTTGCGAAGAAAGAGGAATAAGAAGAAAAAGTTAGTGGAGTACATGATTTGAACCCACAACTTTTGACATATCAAGCCGGCACGCTACCCACTGGCCATTGTGGTTCGTACGAACTCATGTACGAATCATTTATACAGATAGAATTATCCTCACCACATTGATTATTTGTTGCATCGCATTCTTATCGTACGGCATCCACGTTTTGGGTATTATTGAATTCGTGCCTGTAGTCTCTGTGGACATGATGCAGATCAACACAAAGTGTAACAAAGTGAAGTAGTCAGAGGCCTTATTGTTCCTATCTACTCACTAATATTATTATAATGATCAATCTAGTAAGTCACATTGATGGTGATTACTCCACTCATATTTATTCTTTCGGTTGCAGGCGCGGGGACGCGGATATTTGGGAATATCATGCGCCAGAAAAAAATTTAGCAAGAGAGATGATGTATAGGAATGTCAATCGAGGTTCAGATAAAAATTACATTTTGAACAAAGTTACATCTATGAGCAAGAATATTGAGATTCAAATCAAATTTCTGATTAACAAGTTAGACCTGATTCTGAATCTCAAGTCGGATTCTGAGTTTCATATCAGCATTTTGAGATCCTAATAAAAACTCTGAGTGACAAGTCGAAATTATGAGTGATTAATCAGAATGCTAAGTCAAGTGCTGGTCAAACGTATGACTAATATAAGTAAAAATCATATGTAACAAGTCATAATTGTGGGTTATAAGTCGAATATAATTCCCACCAGAAATACAACCGGATCTGTGTTTGCAGGACCCAGTCCCATACAAGTTTCCACAAGTTGCAACCAAAACAAGTACAAAGACTCATGTACTGGTCGTCACCTACTTAGTCTGTTCTACCAGGAATGACGCATTCAGAGATGTTCCTGATGCCTAAACCATCGAAAAAGGCAATCAAGTTGATTCTAAGTAGAATAACCTGAGAATTCCGACAGGGCTTGCTCTTAAATGTACTGAAGTTCTCCAGCACGGAAGTAGAAAGAGCTGAACATACTATCCGTGATCTAGGAGTTCAGGTGGTGGATAGCTGAAAGACGCTGAGTTCGTGAGGGAATTTTCACCAAAACATGGGTTTGAGCCACACTTAGACAATGTATGTTTGGGTATGTATGCTTCCCTAACCCCGCAGAAGTTTCAACCCAATAGCAAAGGGGCATTTGCCGCACACATTCTGAAAGATCGCTTCTTCAATCCGTCACTGCACTCACTTGCAACCTACCTTATCATCACACAATCTAGCAGAATATGGTAACAAAAATTAGATTTTCATTGAGTGTTATTGATTCAACATAGACATAACATCGTCAAGATTATATGAAAATTCGTCACCTTCTTATTCGTAATTCCTGCGAAAATACGTTCAGAAAAACTGGACACATATTCCATAAAAATTCCTTGGATGAGCAGCTTCTCCATTGGTTGACATAAACCTTGAAGATGGAAAGCTTCGCTTGCCAAAGATATCTCATCAGATGAAAATAGTCACACTTCAAAGTGTCGGCAATAATAATTGCGAAGAAACATATTCGCGACAGCACCTTTCTAGACGACTCGAGACGGGCAATTGCACTTCCAAGAGCATGTCGTAGCGCTCGAATTCACCAGGTGACGGTGCCATGCGGGATTGATTCATGGCCTGCTCCTTCCTGCCAACTTTATCGTGTAGTGTCGAAAAACATCGCGCCGGCTGTGCATGACACTGTTGCTTTTATACTATTTAGCACTTTGATAGTTTTGTGTAGTTCCTGTTCAGTGATGCCAACCCGTAGGGATATTTCCTATATGCAGGGATACTTTGTTGAATTTAGGGTGTGAAGGGATGTAGGGAAAAATTATTTGATAATCCAGAATTTTAGGAATTCCTCGACTGTTCTTGTTGTCCGACAGCCTGAACGACTATATAATGTGTGATAATTTCGAATTTAAAAAGCAGACGCAGTCTGTCAATTCCGAAGTCAATTCAGCGGTCGATTATTATCATTTCATGATTATTTGTATAAGTGGCTTTGGTTTGACTTGTTTATGACAAGTGACACTAGTAACAGTGACATTTGGACATTGAAATTGTGTTTTGAAAAGTTTTCTTCGCTAAATCCAATGAATCTCAAGGTTCATGTTTTTTGTTCAATATAAGGAATTTTTATAGATCTGTGAGGGGAAAACGTATTTGAAAGGTTGGCATCACTCTTCGTAACGGGTTTGATCGTGGTCGGCATTGAAAGGCTTTGTTCTGTTCAGAACATGGATTATGCGAAGTGTAACCAGAGCTCCGATGCATTTTTTCTGGAATGTGTAGTTGGCACCGCCCTCCTCACAATGTGAGCTCACCTCAGAAAGCCCAAAAACAAGATAAATAATCCGTTGACATAGCGATTATACAATTTTACCCAAAAATACTTGCATTCCAGATGTCTACATCCAGTCTGCCAATACACTAGATCTTTTTCTCACCAGCAATCCTGATCCATATAGAAACGAAGCTTGTGCCCCACTTGGAAACTCTGACCACACTCTCATCTCTTACCGGTCTCATGTGGCATTACAATTCGGCCGACTGGGAAGATCTTCGTATGTTTTTTTCAGCGTTTCCATGGAAAAGAGTTCGTTTCTCCTCAGCAGATCCAACACGATGTGCTGGAATCACAATCACAATCTCTGGAATCATCATGTTGGGGATGCAAACCTAAATACCGAAAACTGCAAGGAGAACATATTCCGATAAGGCCTGGATCAGTAGAAACTGCTCTAGAGCTGTCGCTTCCAAACAGGCAGCATTCCATCGATGGCAGAAAAATTCAGGCCCTGAGACTCAGAATATGTCGAGGCTAGAGGCATATGCAATGAGACAATTCGATCATCAAAGGATGCTCATAATGCCAAAATAATATCAAGACTTATTGAATGTCCTAACGGGTTCCTTCCATTTTGGTCCTTTGCCAAAGCTGTAGAAAAAACTACACTTCCAGCTCGTTTCCTCCTCTAACCAAGGAAGATGGAACACTAGTCACAACTCAACAGGAGAAAGCCAACATTTTTGCGCATTTATTTGCTGGACACCTTTTGCCAACGTACTATAAGGAAGATTTTATTGGGTCTCAAGATCAATGGAGCTTGTGGGCCCGACGGAATCCCACCGATTGTTCTCAAGAAATGATCTCCCGAACTATCACCTGTTCTCTGCAAGTTGTTCAACTACTCTTACAAATTGGGGATATTCTCGTCAAACTGGAACATTGCAAGAGTACAACCAGTTCCTAAAAGAGGCAAAAAGACCCTACCTAGCAACTACAGACCGATCGCACTGCTATCTATTATGTCAAAGATCATGGAGAAAACTATCAACAGCTCATGCTCATCTAGAGCATTCAGGTATTATCAACGATAGGCAATATGGCTTCCGTCATCAGAAATCAACTGGTGACCTGCTCGCTTACGTCTCACATATATGAAACCTTAGCCGTGGCACTTGATATCTCCAAGGCATTCGATCGAGTCTGGCACCACGGACTCCTTGCCAAGCTTCCATCTCATGGCTTGCCTCCCCTGCTATGTTCTCTGGTAGCTAGTTTCCTCTCAAACAGGCTCTCTATGTAGTGGTCGACGGAGTTTCATCTGACTCTCTTATCATAAATGCTGGTGTTCCGCAAGGATCAATTGTAGCGACAACACTATTTCTACTCCATATCAACAAGGCAAATCAGAAACGAACGAGGAATAAATATTGGCAACATAAATATGGACTCAACAACAATTCTCGAATGCGGATTCAATAACTTGGTAGATTTCAATGCAAACAAAACACAAGTATACCTTTTCTCTACAAAAGCCGATCTCACTGTGCCCAACATAAGCTTGTCAGAAATAACCATACCTTTGAAGACATCCATTTCGATGCTTGGTATTACTATCAGCAATAACCTTTTTTAGGAAAATCACGTGAGATCAATTGCAAAAAGAGCATCCTAAAAACTTGGTTTTCTGTTTCGGACCAGGAGCTATTCCACTTAGATTCAGCTGCTTATGATCTATAAGGCACAGATTCGACCTGTCCTGGAATACTGTTTCCATATTTCGAGTGCAGCACCCAAACATACCCTGAAACTGTTGGATTATGTTCAAAAAAGGGCAATTCGTCTCGTGGGTGATGTCTCGCTCACAAACCCACTAACTTCTCTGGAACACCGTAGAAAAGTTGGCGATCTGGCTCTATTTTATAAATATTTTCAACAATTGTTCCTCCTTTGGCAGTCCCCACGAGATCAACCCGTTGAGTTGAGGCTTCGCATTCCTTCTTGGTCAGAACATCTCTTCTCAAAGACTCGTTCATCCAACGAACAGCGAGACTCTGGAACACATTGCCAAGGGAGGTCTTTCCCGAGGCATATAACCTCCAGAAATTCAAGAAGAACACCAATTCCTACCTTATTTCCCCTGGCACGATGTTCTCTGAACATTACAGGAAATTCCTTCTCGTGGGAACCAGAACATGAAAAAAAGTTACGCCAATACAATGTTTTGAAAACCCATAACTGAACAATTCCACCTTGCAAGCTTGAAATGTACACTAATACTGCTTGATCACTGATAGCTGCATGACTTCTACGAAAGTTATACAGAATTGCAATATTATGCATATTATATATTAATAGTAATGAATCCAACAAAATACTTGTTTATAACCTAACAAATTTTTGTCTACTCGATAATTTGCAATTTACGCTAAGGATATGAGGAGTCTATATATTATAAGCTCATAACACGTACGTTTCGATTGAATATTGAGAATTGTGGAGGCGACTTCGATTTCT